TAAAATAATATTGAAAACTTAAAATGGAGGAAAATTCACAGTTATTGACTAATTAGACAGAACCATTTTGCTTTCATACATATTGTTAGTATATACTTTCCAGTAATATAAGTTGCTTTAATAACAAGATATACTTTAATTTTATAAGAGTTTTAACATTAATATAACATGACTATGCTTTGAAAATGTAAATTACGTTTTTATATTTGCATTAATATTCATTTAATGGGAATTATTGAGTGGAAATGGGAGTTAAATAAGTAAAATAAGACATGGGAATCAGGGACTTATATTAGGATTCTTCAGAGAAACAGAACCAATAGGCTGTGTGTATGTGTGTGTATGTATATGTGTGTGTGTGTGTGTGTGTGTGTGTGTGTGTGTGTGTGTGTATATATATATAAATGAAATTTATTATAAGGAATTGGCTCATATGACTATGAAGGCTGAAAAGTCCCATAATCTGCCATCTGCAAACTGCAGACCCAGGAAAGCTAGCGTGTATGTAAATTCCACTCCAAGTATGGAGGCCTGAGAACCAGGAGCACAGATGGTATAACTTCCAATGCAAGAGCAAGGAAAGACCGATGTCTCAGCTCAAGCAGTCAGGCAGAGAGAGGAAATTCTTCTTTCCTCTGCGTTTTTGTGCTTTCAGTCCTTCAGTGGATTGGCTGATGCCCACCCACAATGGGGAGATCATTCTGCTTTACTCAGTTTACCAATTCAAATGCTGATTTCATATGGAAACACCCTCACAGATATACCCAGAAATAATGCTTAGCCAAATATCTGGGTACATATCCCAGTAAAGTTGACACATAAAATTAGCCATCACAAGTCCTCTACTGATCAGCTTGGCACCCATACATGTCTCCATAAACCAAACTTAATCTATAAATAAAGATAATAACAATGTCATAATCCCACCTTAACATAATACAGCTTTCCTCTGTATGACTGAAAATACACCAATCCCTTTCCCAGAAAAGTAGGTAAAGTCCCTGAGTGATGTTTACCTCTCCTTGATATCCTCTAACTTAAACACTATGATGTAAAATTATGCTTAAATCCTCATATAAAGGCAGTACATTTTATGTTACATGGTAAGGGAATAAGAGAGGAAAGAAAACAGTATTTCACACACACACACATACACTCACATACACTCACACACACACATATGCACACACACAAATGTATTCATATGAACACAAGTAGGAAATACCCCTAACAATTACAGTCCTCATTTCTGTAACTAATCACGTGGTTGTAGCTAGTATTTATAACTACTTTCATACTCTAATCATTCTGTAATCGCTTTACCTTCAGCAAGCACAGTAGCTGGTTTTGGTTCTTTATCTGGTTGGGTGACTGAAACCTTTATTCTGGAAGGATCTGGAGCATTAGTAGTCTTTCCTGGATTGGATTGTTCTAGTTAATCACAGGTGATGGTAATACTAAAAGATGCCCTAAGGTATCTCTTGTATTGCAGACATACTGTTCCCTACCTTGTGGAGTAGCAGTTAAATTTCCCTGTTAATAGTCAGGTTCAATCACCCAAGCCTGCACAGTAACTCCCTTCTTTGCCTGTTGATTTAGAGGCATAAGGAGCCCAAAGTGGCAGAGTGACAGTTCTTAACTTCCAGTTCAATGGAATCAGTATTGTGTTTCCTGGTAAAAGCATTCCTCCCTCTGGAACTAGAACATCTAGGCCAGTAGAGAATACGGTCACAGAGACAGGAAGAAAAATTTTGCTAGTGGGTGAGTAAGGGTAATAGTGAGTGGTGCTACTTCCATTTCCATCCCTTGATTCCTGGACCCATAAATGCCAGCTATGAGAGAAAGAACACCATATATTGGATGCTGATTTAGAGACTATACACCCTTTTGGAGAACTTTCTCCCAGCCCCTGCAAGGTATTGCCACATAGCTGGCACTGCAACTGAATCTTCAAGAGATCATTCCACTGTTTCACCAAACCAACTGGTTCAGGATTATGGGGATATGATAAAACCAGTGAGCATGGGTCCATTGCTGCACTTCACTTGCTGTGAAGTTAGTTCCTTGGTCAGAATCAATGCTATGTGGAATACCACAATGGTGGATAAGGCATTTTGTAGGTCTGCTGATGGTAGTTTTGGCAGAAGCATTGCATGCAAGGAAGGCAAAACTGTATCCAGAATAAGTGTCTATTCCAGTAAGAACAAAATGCTGCTCCTTCCATGATGGAAGCTGTCCAGTGTAATGAACCTGCTACCAGGTAGCTGGGTGATCAACCAGGGGAATGGTGCCACATTGGGAGTGTTAATCTCTGCTACTGGATAATTAGGCACTCAACAGTGGTTGTAGCCAGGTTGGCTTTGGTGGGTAGAAGTATGTTTTGCTGAGCCTATGCATAACCTCCATCCTTGCCACCATGGCTACTTTGTCCATGTGCATATTAGGTGATGACAGGGGTGGCTGGGGAAAGAGGCTGATACCCACAAAACTGGTCATCTTTCTTGATTATTAAACTCTCCTTTGCTGATGTCACCTTTTGCTGAACATTTACATGGGACACAAATATCTTCTCTTTTTTGCCATTCAGAGAGGTCTGTCCACATACCTTTTCCACATATTTTCTTGTCACCAACTTTCCAATCATGTTTCTTTCATCTCTGACCATCCAGACAAACCATTAGCCACAGCCCATGAATCCATGTATAATCACACATCTGGCCATATCTCCTTTCAAGCAAAGTGAACAACAAGGCGTACTGCTCAAGAGTTCTGCTCACAGGGAGGATTTTCCTTCATGACTTGTTCTTCACGGATGTCCCAGAAAGGGGCAGCAGTGCCTTAGCTGTCTACTTTTGGGTTGTGCCTGCATATTGTATAGAACCCTCTGTAAACCAGGCCAGAGTCTTCTCTTCCTCTGTCAAGTGATCCTAGGGAACTCCCCATGAAGCCATAGATGCAGAGAAAGAGGGCAGTGTAACAGGAGTGGGTACCCTGGGCATTTGTGCCACTTCTTCATGTAATTTTCTGGTGCTTCAGGGCCTACTGGGCCTGATCACATATATACCACTTCCATTTTGTGGTGGAGTGCTGCTGTGCACACCCAACTTTATGGCTTGGTGGGTCAGATAACACCAAGTTGATGATGGGCAACTCAGATCCTATGGCAATTTAGTGGCCCATGGTTAAGCCTTCAGTCTCTACTAAGGCCCAGTAGCAGGCTGTTTCTCAAAAGGAGTGTAGTTATCTGCAGAGGATGGCAGTATTTTGCTACAAAATCCTAAGGGCCTACACTGCAATTTGCATGTGGAGGACTTCCAAAAACTGCAAACAGCATCCTGTCTGCTACTGATATTTCAAGCAACATTGGATTTGCTGGATCATGTGGGCCAAGTGGTAGAGCAGCTTGCGCAGAAGCCTGGACCTATTGCAGAGCTTTCTGTTATTCTGGGCTCCACTTGAAATTAGCAGCTTTTTGGGTCATGAGGAGTAAATAGGCCAATGTAACGCCCAGATGAGGATTATGTTGCCTCCAACATTTGAAGAGGCCCATTAGGCATTGTGCCCCTTTTTGGTTGTAGGAGGAGCCAAATGCATCACCTTTGAAGGGATGTCTTGACATGCCCTACACCACTATACCACTAAATATTTCACTGAGGTAGAAGGCCCCTGAATTTTAGTAGAAATTCTTTCTTACCCTTTGACATACAAATGTCTTGTCAGTAAGTCTAGAGTAGTTGCCACTTCTTGCTCAGTAGATCCAATAAGTGTAATGTTATCAATACGATGGATCAATGTGATATCTTGTGAAAGGGAAAGGCAATCAAATCCTTGGGAACTAAATTATGACATAGGGCTGGAGAGTTGATAGACCCCTAAGGTAGAACA